CCCCCCCCACCCCCCTGCTCCACCTCCACTCCGTGTGCTGGTGGGGATTTGATAAATTTATAACCTTCAATCACGCCTTCTTCCTCCCATATTAACCAACCCTTCTCCCCTCCATGACCCCTCATCCACCGCTTGCTCCCCTCCTCCATGACCCACCACCTCCATCACTCTCCGGGGAAAAACAAAAACCACCATTCCTCCTACCTACCTCCGTTCTGGATCGATCTGTCCATCTCTACCTCCGCTCCGCTCCGACTCTTCTACCTCTCTACCTGTCTCACGCTGCTTGTTGCTCTTCTCTCCCTCTAAAGATGGTTACGCCCCAAAGTCTGTTTACCCTCTTCGGTATGTTATCGTTAGCGCTCTCTCTCTTCTTTCTTTAGCTCTACTTTTCTTTCTTGTATCTACTCTTTCTATTCTACTTTCATTCTGACTTTTTGTTGTTGTTGTTACTATTATTATTATTATTGTTGCTATTATTATTATTATTATTATCATTATTATCATAGTTAGTATTAATATTGTTAGCATTACAAGCTTCTCTATATTTGTTTGCTGATTGTAGATTTGGTCATTTTGAATCCTCATTGACCTGTTAATTGGTTTGGGTTATGTCATTACTTTGCCCTAAAGTTTACTACCTAGTAAGAAGTTAATGCATGTGTAAGCCATTGGTTTTTGCATGCTGTTTTTATTGTTAGCCATCTCACATAGCTTGATAACGTTTCTGCTTAGAGGGTGCTTCTTCTTTATCCTTTATCTGTTTTTTCACACACTTTCATACACCTCACACTCTACAGTCTAAAATAAACCTGTTTCTATGCTGTCGTCTCTGCTGTACCTTGTGTTTAAATATCCTTGTCTCCTGTGAAACCTTGAGATTTTTCTAACTGCCTGCTTTTTTTCGTCCCGACCTCTTCTCCTATTGCCGGCTTCTGGGTCTGTCACAGGAGTGTACGGTGATGTCCAGAGGGTGAAAATTCTTTACAACAAGAAGGACAGTGCTCTCATACAGATGTCTGAGTCCAATCAGGCCCAGCTAGGTAAGTGGATATCTCTGTTATGTCTGACTTGTCTGTAGTGCAAGTCCCGTAGTATGCTGTGTAATAAATATTTTGGTCCTGTGTTGATCATTACACTTTTCTTAAATATAATGCAGCACAGTCATTACTTGCCAGAGAAAGTAATTCTGTACACAACTTGTTACTTTTTACTCAGTAAAATGAGCTGAAACGCAGGCTTGTATAATTGGCAGCTAACAATATAAACATTAGGATACAGTCCCACACACCAGCACAAATGCATATCGTGAGGACACAACCAGTGATTTCACTGTAGAAACACACGTATAGGTAGAGATGGAGGCTACAGTGCTCCAGCCTGACTGTTCATCGCTGCCTTTGTTGCACATGGTTCTGGGTCAGCATGCACTCAGCTTTTTCATTGGCTAGCTCTGTGTCTGCATGTTTTCTGCAGGTACTTTAAAGAGATGAAGTTAGCAGTGTAACATGGTTATTTGTCCTGGATGCAGTTTGCAATTTACCAGCAAACTGTTATCCATTTGTGCAAAAACAAAATAAAATAATAATAAAGAGTCCTTCTGTGTGTCATCATACAGGACACTTAAGCCCCTTTTCAATTAGTACCTGTTCAGGTTGGTCATAGTACCAGGTAACAGGTCCTTTTTTTAGCACCTATTTGGCCATGGTTCCAAATGATCCCAAAATGTGACGTCAACAGACTGCATGCCACCAGTTGGCTAGTCAGTGGCGTCATGAGTGTCTCGTTCATGAACATCAAAACCGCCGTTTTTAAAACCTGGCAACAAGAGAAATGGCTAGAAAAAACAACGCCACGGTCCACAGACCGAGCAGCACGCTTATCGTCGCCTCGATGTCCACTTTGTAGCGTTCGCGTCACATACTAATTACGTCATGGGACGCTCAGCTGTGTTGCTATGACGATGAACACGCGCAGTTCTTCCATTTCTAAGGCTTCCTGCTGCCAACAAATCTGTGAGACGGCGAGGTAAGGAAGACAGAGCCCCTGCAGGACTGCAGCCGGGGACGTGCTCTGTGATCCACATGGGGTTGACATCAACGGCATCACTGACTACATACATTTCTGTGAAGATACCTAAAGCGCCTTGAGGCGACTGTTGTTGGGATTTGGCGCTGTATAAATAAAGTTGAATTGAATCCCAGCCAGGACTGTATGCTGTTTTTCCAACAATAAGCCTGGATCAACATTGAGAAGAAGGCCCTACTGAATGAGTTGAATGTGGGGCTAATAAGGTGTAGATGCATACAGACCAAACTCCATCTGAAAAACACCAAAGAGGTGTGGAGAGAGATGCAGCTGATGCCCTCAATCAGATAAACTGGCAGTAGCCTGGACACAGCATGAACAATGAACTGACTCTCTATCTTAACAGGGTCAGTACTGGGCCCCCTGCTGCCCCTCCACACTCAGCACCAATCGTGATACATCCTCAGCCATCAAACAATCCACCACTGCACATCCCCTCCTCCATGCAAAGATTGGGTGTTCGGAACCGACCCCACTCCCACTGTCATCTAAAATTCCCTCTTCATACCGGACTGTGATCATAGGGATGGGTATCGTTTAGGTTTTATCCGATACCGGTGCCAAACTGGTACTTTTAAAACGGTGCCGGTGCTTAAAGAATGGAGAACACAAACTTTGTCCAAAAACCTCTCATGTTTTTATTTTTAGCAGTCTCTTTTTTTCTGCAAAATGATAACCAAGGTAGCCTTTTCTGTTGATACAACATACCTCCTTTGGTTGGAACCGGTGCTTAAACGATGGAAAACACAAACTTTGTCCTAAAACCTCTCATGTTTAGCTGCTTTTTTTTTGTTGTTTTTTTTTGTAAAAGGATAACATTGTTAGCCTTTTCTGCAGCTAGCTTAAAGCACTTGTTGCAGGCTGCTTAGTTTGCATCTTTTGCTGTGTACAGCCAGACTTTTGACCGCTTTGACCATTTTTAATATGTAGCTCTGCTCTAAAAGAACATACGTACCGCCTACTATCCTTGGAAAGGTAAAATGATTGGCTAGAATCCAAAGTGTATGACATCTCAAGAAAAAAAAGCACCAAAATGTGCGCTGCTTTTCGGTCTGGTTACTACTGGTTATGTCAGAACTGGTACCCATCCCTAGTGATTGGTGTCCAGCTAAGAGCGTAAGTGTAGGGACTACACCAAGGCAAAGCTACAGACCCTGGTCGCATCAGGTCTGAATGACTTCAGACCAGTTACCTTGATGTTGACATGTCATCAAGGTGCTGGAGAGACTGGTTCTTGCCCGACTTTGCTTCCAGGTGAAACATGCTCTCAACACTCTTCGGTTCACTTACCAGCCTCTTGTGGGGGTGGATGATGCTGTTATCTGCCTGTTGCAACATGCTCGCTTTCACATGCGTGGAACTGGTAGCATTGTGAGAATCATTACTTGTCTTTCCAAGGAAAAACGATTCAAGTGCGAAGCTGCTCGGGGTGGGTATCACCACTTCTCCTGTCTCCTGGATTGCCGACCACGTCTTTAAGGTTGGGCAGGAGTGGTGAGGAACTATGTGGAGAAGTCTGGAAGAAGAGCAAGAATCTTTTATTGTCATTATATGTTCACACATAACGAAGTTTTGTTTTGGTACCTCGGCACACATCAGACACAAGTTTTTTGTTTGTTTGTTTTTAAAAAATACGTGTTTACAGAAACATATTCCAATTATAGTTATATAACCGATATGGACAATGTGTAGACTCTCAGCTTCCATTTGAGGGTATCCACATTCAAATTGGGTGAAGGGTTTAAGAGTTTTTGCTCCTTAACACGTGCCGAAAGTAATTAGCTAATTGACTCAAAGTCGATTCCATGGCCAGGTGTGGGCAGTTCCTTCATTATGTCATTGTCAGTTTAGCAAATAAAAGGCACGGAGTTGATTTGAGGTGCACTATAAAACAGTTGAATGGACACTATCTGGATGTGCATGTGTGCAGGAAGTCACAAATAGAATTTAGATGTATTTTACAGATCTGGGGAAAAAGCTCTCTCAGTCTGGTGGTGCGTGTTTGCATGTTTCTATACTGCTTACCAGATGGAAGCATTTTAAACAGTCCATTGCCAGGGTGGGTGGGGTCTGCAGTGATACGTCAGTGCCAGAAATGGCAGTAGGATCAATAAAGTAATCCTCAAAGCTGGAAGCATCATAAATCAGAACTTGGAGGCATTTGAGTCATTGAGGGACGGGACTGTGCTCCACCATGGATAACCCATCGCACCTTCTCCACTCCACACCTCTAAGGCAGATTTATGGTCTACATATTATTTATTAAATGCAACTTACACTTCTCTCTTACACAACGCCAGTCTTACGTTTACTGTTTTTAACCAACTTTTACTTTTTAAACCATTTTTACTTTTCATTGTTTTTTGTCACTGTTGTATAGTGCAGGAATTATATCTCATAATATAAGGCCCACCTGTGACACTCTTATTTTAACTGTGTTGTTTATTGTTATGTATTGTAGACTCTACTATTTTTACTTTATCATGCTGTTGTAACACAAAAATTCCATTATGGGCTCAATAAAGTATCCATCTATTTATTTAACATAACAAAATCCTTTTAGTGCTTTGTTCGAGATCGAATGCATTCCCCTCTCGCCCCTTTAGGCGGTCTTTATCCTCCAAGCTCGGGTCCTCTACCAGAGGCCTGTGAGCTTGAGGGTCCTGTGCAGTATCTTACCTGTTCCTAGGACTGCGCTCTTCTGGACAGAGATCTCCGATGTTGTTCCTGGGATCTGCTGGAGCCACTCGCCTAGCTTGGAAGTCACTGCAATAAGTGCTTCGATTACCACTGGGGCCACTGCTACCTTCACCCTCCACATCTTCTCAAGCTCTTCTCTGAGCACTTGATAATTTTCCAGCTTAGTTAGCCACCATCATTGTGTTTGTCTGTATCTGGAAGTCCCACAGGATCTTAGCTCGGTCATTCTCCACCATCCTTGGGGGCGTCTCCCATTTTGACCTCGGGACTTCCAGGCCATAAATGGCACAGATGTTCCTGTACACTATGCCGGCCACTTGGTTATGCCGTTCCATGTATGCCTTGCCTGCTAGCATCTTACACCCTTCACTTCTGTGCTGGATTGTCTTTGGGGCATCTTTACACAGCCTGCACCTGGGGTCTTGCCTGGTGTGATAGACCCCAGCCTCTATGGAGCTTGTGCTCAGAGCTTGTTCCTGTGCTGCCATGATTAGTGCCTCTGTGCTGTTTATTCATAAGGTTAGTTAGTTCCGTAAAAAACGGAATCGTCCTGTATTCAGAGAAAATATTACGTTTTGTATTGAGCTGAAAAGGAACACAGTTTTTCCCGTACTTCAGCTAGAATGGAAAAAGACACAAAGATGGATTTATTCTGTCGTTACGCTGCAGCTGCCTCTTCTTCTCTCATTCTCTCCCCTCCCTCTCCTGTTTCTACTTCAATCATGAAACTGATCAATGATCAGCTGATCGTCTCTCTTGTTTGTTTATCGCCCACTTTGCCCCAGAAAGAGGAAACCAGCAGATGTCGCGCTAAACAACAGCAGCACGTTTAAGTTTGATCAGCTGTTGTTAGAATTGATTTAATATTAATTTCTAGTATCAGCTGATGTTTGCTGGAGCCACAGCTGTAAAGCTGCTGGTCATGATGGTTTGGATATGTGGTGAGAGGGAAACATGAAGATGAAACCAGGAGATGTCCTTACTGAATCATCAGAGCTGAACAGCTGATGGAGAAACAGGTTTACCTTTTAGGTGACATGGATGAGTTGAAGTTATGAACTGTTTCTGAGAGACAAATAACACCAGGATCCTTTTCTAAGTAGCTGACAGCTGGTAACTGTGCAGGGGCGGGTCTAGCAAAGTTTAGCCAGGGGTCAGGTAGGGCATTAACAGGGAGAGGGGGCACAAAGAAATACTTTCGTATTCTCATTTAAAATGTCTCGCTTTTATTAAATAATTATCTGAATCTTACAAC